CTGGGACACACTGGGACACACTGGGACACACTGGGACACACTGGGACAGACTGGGACACACTGGGACACACTGGGACACACTGGGACAGACTGGGACAGCTGGGATAGCCTGGGACAGACTGGGATAGACTGGGGACAGCCAGGGACAGCCTGGGACAGACTGGGACACACTGGGACAGCCTGGGACAGCCTGGGACATCCTGGGACAGCCTGGGACAGCCTGGGACAGCTCCAGGGACATCCTGGGACAGCCTGGGCTGGTCAGGAGAGCTGCAGGGACCTTGAGATGTTCAGTGCAGCCAGAGGGGACAGCGAGGCTGGTGAGGGGCTGGGGACACAAAGCCCGTGAGGAACAGCTGGGGGAGCTGCGGGAGTTCATCCTGGAGAAAAGGACACTCACAGGTGACCTCACCGCTCCTCAGAGGAGGTTTTGGTCAGGTGGGGTCACTCTCCTCCACCAGACACGGGGACACAAACCCTGTGAGGAACCACTGACAGAGCGGGGGGTGTTCATCCTGGAGGAACTCACAGCTCCTCAAAGGTTGTAGTGAGGTGAGGGTCACTCTCCTTCACCTGGCAGCACTGACAGGAGAGGACACAGCCTGGAGCTGCCCCAAGGGAAGCTGAGGTTGGAAGTCAGGCAGTTGTTCTTCATGGAAAGGGTGATAAAACCCTGGGGAGGTGGTGGAGTCACCATCCCTGGGTGGAGTCACCATCCCTGGGTGGTGTCACCATCCCTGGGTGGAGTCACCATCCCTGGGTGTGGAGTCACCATCCCTGGGTGTGGTGTCACCATCCCTGGGTGTGGCTTGGACTCACCCATGTTCTCCCAGGTCTGTTCCAGCCCAGGATCCCGGGATAAATTGATGGGAATTGCGTTTCCCAGCTCCCGCCTTCCTTCTTCCCAAAACAACCGATGGGAACGAGCGGGGAAAAGCTTTTATTTGCCGTGGATGAAATTCCAGAAGTTTCCACGGATTCTTTCCCGCTGCAGCTGTTCGTGCAGTCCAACCACGGCGACGAGGAGACGACGATCATCTCGTACTTCACCTTCATCGGCACCCCGGTGCAGGCCACCAACATGAACGACTTCAAGCGCGTGAGTGCCCCGGGAAAAACGGGAATGCTCTCCCAGAATTCCCGGGCTTGTCCGCCACCTTGGAATCGGGCTGCGCTCAAAATCCGTGGGGAAAGCTGGGAACGCCCAGAGGCAGCTGGGTTGGGAATGGCTGGGACACCTGCATCGGGATTGGGAATGTGGGATTGGAATGTGGGAGTGGGAATCTGGGTTGGGAATCTGGATTTGGGAATCTTTTCCCGCACTTTTCTGTTTGGAATCGCACCAGGAATAAACAAATTCCCGGGAATGCCGAGTTTAACTCCGGGAATAGCCTGGAAAAATCCTTGGGGGATGGAGAACGGCCAGGATTTGGGATTTGGGACAGGAAATCCATGGATTTCTGGATTATTCCATAGGTTTTTATTTCCCAGTGGCTCAGCACTGGGGGTTTGGGTTTCAGGGATTGGAATTCCACGGATTTCTGGATTTCTGGGAGCAGGAATCTCCGTCCCAGCTTCCCGGAGCTGCTCCTGCCCCGGTTGGAATCTTCATTCCCGCTTTTCCTTTTCCCATTTCCAGGTAGTTGGGAAGAAAGGAGAGAGCCACTAGGAAGCAAAGGCTCCTCCCGCTCCGAGATTCCCACTTTTCCGGCTCCTGGATCACGGCTCGGCCCTCACAGGGACTCTCACTCGGATTTCCCGCCATTCCCAATAAATCATCGCTTCCAGCTGGAATCTTTTCCCTGGATTTGTAAATAAAATTCCCGATTTTTGCCAAGTGGAATTTCGTTATTCCCGGAATTGTGGCTCTTTTGTTCCGTCGGAATTCCGGGTGGGGGGAGTTTCTTGGGATCGTCATTCCCACAAAAACGCGGAGAAATCCCAAATATTCCCACAAAAACGCGGAGAAATCCCAAATATTCCCACAAAAACGCGGAGAAATCCCAAATATTCCCACAAAAACGTGGAGAAATCCCAAATATTCCCACAAAACCGCGGAGAAATCCCAAATATTCCCACAAAACCACGGAGAAATCCCGGAAAATCCGAGCAGAGGGAGCAGATTCCGAAGCCATCATTCCATGAATTTCCACCCGAATTCCTGAGGGCGTTTTCCAGGTTTTCCCCATGGATTGAGGAGTTCCCGATTTCCTTTGCCGGGATCGTTTCCTCTCTCTGATTTTAATTAAGGAACATTAATTACAAATCTCCGTTCTCCGTCCCAAGCGGAATTTTTTTCCCAAGGAAATTTCCCGGGAAAGCAGAGCTCCTTTATCCACAGGATTCCGGGAACTCCCGGGAAAACCCGCTCGGGGTTTAATTAATCTCCTCGGGAAGTTTAATTAATTGCGCTTTTAACGACACAAATCCAATTAAAAACTTCGATCCGCGCCCTAATTGCTGCTCCCCTGCCGGATCCTCATCCCGAGGGAATTCCGATCGGATTTGTGTTCCCGAGGAAAGGCGGGAATTCAGCGGGAAAAGCTCCTTGGGCTGGGAGGGGTTTGTTTTCCAGAGGGCAGGGAATTCCTGGGAATTCCAGAGGAATTCCAGAGGTTTTGGGATGGGAAATGTGGAATTCCAGAGGTTTTGGGATAGGAAATGTGGAATTCCAGAGGTTTTGGGGATGGGAAATGTGGAATTCCAGAGGTTTTGGGATGGGAAATGTGGAATTCCAGAGGTTTTGGGGATGGGAAATGTGGAATTCCAGAGGTTTTGGGATGGGAAATGTGGAATTCCAGAGGAATTCCAGAGGTTTTTTTGTTGTTTTTGGGGTTTTTTTGTTTGCTTTTTAGGTTTTATTGGGATTTAAAATGATTAAAGTAATTATTAATTTAATTAATGATTTAAATTTATTATTTAACTTATTTTTTGTGGTTTTTTGGGGGTTTTCTTTGTGTGGGGATTTTGTTGGGGGTTTCTTGGCAGTTAATTTAAACTAATTTAATTTAATTTAATTTAATTTTAATTTAATTTAATTTAATTTAATTTTAATTTAATTTAATTTAATTTAATTTTAATTTAATTCAATTTTATTTTAATTTTTTTAAAATTTAATTTAATGTAAATTTAATTTAAATTTAATTTAATTTAATTTCAATTTTATTTTATTTTATTTTATTTTTATTTTATTTAATTTAAATTTATTTTATTTTATTTTATTTTTATTTTATTTTATTTAAATTAAATAATTTAATTTAAATTAAATTTAAATTAATTTTTTAATTAAAAAATTAAATTTATTTTATTTTATTTTGCTTTATTTTACATTATTTTATTTAATTTTATTTTAATTTTATTTAATTTAAATTAATTTTATTTAATTTAAATTAATTTTATTTAATTTTATTTCCTTTTATTTTATTTTAAGAATATTTTAATAATATAATTATCAATAATAACATAGTAATAATGTAATATTTTATTTTTGTATGTATTTTATTTTTGTATTTTATTTTTAATAAAAAAATGGGAAGATTTAAAATAAAATGGAAAAAACTAAAAAAAAGAGGAAAATTTAGAAAATAAAAAATAAAATCCAGAAAATGGAAAAAGTCCAGGAGAAAAAATTAAAAATAAATTTTAAAAATAAAGAAAAGAAATAAAAGTAAACAGAATAAGTAAATTAATTTGAAATAAAAAAAATAAAGGAAAATAAATAAAAGTAGATTGAAATAAATCAAAATAAATCAAAATAAACAAAAATAAAATAAAAATAAAATAAAAATAAATAAGAATCAAATAAAAATTAATAAAAATTAATAAAAATAAAAATATAAATAAATAAAAATAAAAATAAATAAAAATAAAAATAAATAAAAATAAATAAAAATAAAAATAAAATAAAAATATTAAAAAATACACAAAATAAAATAAAAATAAATATAAAAATATAAAAAATAAAATAAAATAAAAAATATTTAAAAAATAAATGAATAAAAAATAAAAAGTAAAAAAAAACCAATGAAAACATTTTTGAATTAGGAAATAATTCCCGAATTCCCGAGGAATTCCCGAAGAATTCCCAGGGCCGCATTCCCGGGCCCGCAGCGCCCCCTGGCGGGGACAGCGCAGCAAAGCAAAAATCAAATGATATAAAATAATAAAATCAAATAAAACAAAATTAAAGAAAATTAAAAGAAAACAGAAGAGAGTAAAAATAAAATAAAAATAAAATAAAATAAAACGAAACAAAATGAAGTAAATTAAAATTAAAATAAAACAAAGCAAAGTAAAAAAATAAAATAAAATAAAATAAAACAAAATAAAAAATAAAATAAAATAAAACGAAACAAAATAAAATAAAATAAAATAAAATGAAATAAAAATAAAATAAAACGAAACAAAATAAAATAAAATAAAATTAAAATAAAACAAAACAAAGTAAAAATAAAATAAGATAAAATAAAATAAAACAATAAAATAAAATAAAATAAAATGAAACAAAATAAAATAAAATAAAATTAAAAGAAAACAAAACAAAGTAAAAATAAAATAAAATAAAATAAAATAAAATAAAATAAAAATAAAATAAAATAAAATGAAACAAAATAAAATAAAATAAAAATAAAGCAAAACAAAATAAAAATAAAATAAAATAAAAATAAAATAAAATAAAACGAAATAAAATAAAATAAAACAAAATAAAAATAAAATAAAATGAAACGAAGCAAAACAAAATAAAATAAAATAAAATAAAATAAAACAAAATAAAATAAAAATAAAGCAAAACAAAG